AGCATGGACGGCTTCAAAAGGGAATTAGATAAGCATATGGAGCAGAGGTCCATCAGTGGCTATTAGCCACAAGGTATAGCTAGGGGCTCTGGGACAAGTGATGCTCTGTCTTCTTGGTGCTTGTGGGGGGGTCAACAGTGGGAGGGCTTCTAATGTCCTGGCGCCACTGATGGACCTCCTGATGGCACTGGTATTTCTGGCTACTGTGTGACACAGAGTGTTGGACTGGATGGGCCTTTGTCCTGATCCAACATTGGCATCTCTTATGTTCTTATGTTATAGTCAGTCTTCCCTCTAAGCTCTACAGTTTTGTGAGCAAAAATTCTACCTCATGAGCAGAAAAAAGCTAGTAGCATTAAAGTTCTGAGTGAGTCTACATTTGACTGTTGCATAAATTATTTTTAGAAGATTATTTCCATAACCTCGTAAAAATCTCAGAATGAATTATTTTAAACTATATTTAAACTATATCTTAAGAATAATTTAAACATTATGAGAGAAAACAGAATCAAGTCAAATTTCATTACATAAAATGTTGTCCTCTACAGGGGTAGACCAGGCCTCTGGAGAATGGGTCTCCCTGCCCCTTTCCACTATATTGGTAGACCTTGCCTCAGGAGAACAGGTCTGCCCACATCTTTCCACTGTACTAGTAGACTTGGCCTCCAGAGAACAGGTCTACCCCCCCCCCACTCCATTATATTGGTAGACCTGGGCTTGGACCATTGCCTTGCGCTGACCCTTAGAAAACATACCAGCACTTAGGGGAGAAAAAACTCTTGTAGTCTGCTTTGGGTTTTTTAGTGAAATATGACAACCAGCATTACAGGTCAGGTATAACAGAGGTGGAAGAGTCACTGTCAGTACCCTGCCTAACCTAACAAACAGGAAGTTACTTAAATGGTTTCCAGTCTTCTAATAGCCAGATGCATTAATTACTGAATGTCCGATTTTGTTAATTGTACTGACCCACTATGTGTAATCTGCCTTGAGTCCATGTGAGGAAGGCGGACTATAAATAATGTAAATAAATAAAATTTCATCTGATGAAGGGAGCATTTACTGTTGAAAGCTCATACCCCGAAACTCTTGTTGGTCTCTAGGGTGCTACCTGGAGTCGAATCAAGGTTAATATGTTGTCCTGGAAAATCTACAGCAACTAAAGAATCTAGGTTAGTTATAGATATTTATCATAAGAAGAGCCCTGCTGTATTGGGCTAAATGTCTGACCAGTTATCATCCTGTTTCCCACAGTGGCTTGCATCAGATGTTTCTGGGAAGCCCAGAAGGAACCTGTGAGAGCAATGGCCTGTTCTCCAGCACATGATATTCAGAGAGAGAGAACTCCCTCTAAACCTGAAGATTCCATTCTAGTTACCATGACTCGCAGGTGGGGAGGGGCTCTTTTCCTCTAGCCAGTGGCCATGCCCACCTCCCTAAGCGGTGAATTCCATGTGTCTCTGTCACAAAATTATAACAAAACAATTTCATGGGGGGAACCTGACTTCCCAGTAATAAGAGAGGTAAAACATTTCTCTTCATTCAAACAGAGTTTCCATGATTCTAGTTCGGTGTGGAAAGGAAACAGAATCCACTGCCAAGGAAAGATATAGAACTTGATTATGGGGGTCTGAAATCCTGCGGAGTGGGGCAGGGGTGGGAGATATCGAAGGGGGCTTTTTGCCTACCAATGGCGTCACTTCCAGCTCCCTGGTGCCTTCCTATTGGTGGAATGTCAGAGCCTGCAAATTGCTTTAAGAATCTCTTTGACATGAGTGGTGTTGTTTTAAAAACACTTGCAAGCCATTCTGAATGTGGTTGATTGTTCCACCCTACGTATCTGACATTCACTGTGTTTCTAAAATATTTAGCTTTATAGAACGTTTGTCCAGCAGAGGGCAGAATCTGCCCAAGTATAAAGGCAGAAATTTTGGTTTCCTGGAGGTGGAACTTTTGAGCGGGATTGACAGAAACAAACCAGTAGATTTTTATGCCTGTGCTTTCCAGGCCTCTCTATGTTGTTTCTTTTTACTGTTTGCTAAGGTTAGTTTCTTTTGGGGGGAAAATGGAGTGTGAAGAGCTTGTCATATTTAAAGTGCCCTCCCCTTGTTGTATGCAACAGCTTCAGAGCCTGCTCTGTGTTACAGTTGAGCAGTAGAGTCAACACAGAGATCATCTGGTTGATATTATCTGTGGCTGAAGATTTTACTTTCCATTTTACGTTTCACTTTGCTGTCTGGTGAAATGGAAGTGATGGTTTCACAATCCTCTTTTGTCTCCTCATGGCAAAAAAATCAGATTATAATTTAAAAATAACTTTTTTGCTTTGTATAAATTAATATAATTTTTAAAGCCCTAGACATCCTTGGATGAGGGCATGTCCCTTCACACATATGAACCTGCCTGCGGCTTAAGATAGCTTGGTGCTGCCTTCTCTTTGTAAGGTTTGTGGGAGTATATGGGGCAGGGATTTCTGGGTTGTGTTCCCCAGTTTCAACAGTTTTGTGATTCTCTGCCCCAACGGGCTTAATTTCCCCTCTAATTGTTAGCCTTTTGGGACAATGGCAAAGACTATTCTGTGTAGGGTTTTGAACAGAGCTGAACCTGTTGCTGTTTTTCCTTTGCTTAATTTTGCATGTTATGGTCTACCGTGCATGCCTCTGTTTGGATTTATGCTTCTTTTACTGTTTTATTGTTTATTTTAGTTGGGTCTTCATAAAGATTTTAATGCTGTCGTGGATTGTTTTAGTTATTCTACTGATTTTGTGTTTAAATTTTCTCCATCTTGTTACTCTTGTGGAAGACCAGGCTGTAAATACAATAAGTATTATCTTTGAATTTTCAGTTATGTGTTGGGTCTCCTAAGTGCTTGTTTCTCTTTCCTATTGTCAAACAGCTACTTCCTGGGGAGGGGATGAAATTATGTTCCTGAACTAAGCATAAATTGGTGAGGGAAGCACACCTGTCAGAAATGTACCTCCAACTATATAGCCGGCTGCTATGTCCATGGATCGGGTCCAGAACCACACGTACAATTAAGACAGCTAGATATGGAGAGCTTCTTCTCTTTATAGCAAATTCTTGCAATCTATTTCTGCGCATAGGATGGCTGCTGCTAGTTCAGGGCAAATGTGTTTACTGTTGTACAGAAGTCTTGTATAGAAGTATAGCTAGAATTGCAAGCACAATAGTTAATGAAAAGATGTATATTTTCTCCTATTGCAGGTATTGGCAGTGTTTTCCATAGTATTTTAAAAGCTACTATAATTAAAATTAGGTAACGTAAGCTTGGTAAAATCCAAAGGGTAAGATGTGCAGCACTTGCATATATCTAGCATTTATTCTTCCACACAGTTAAACATAAACATCAAAACTTAACTGCAGTATTCCTTCATGTGCATGTAAACACTCTAACGGATACAAGGGCTCGATTTATCTGATAAATCATTTTAAAAGCCCGCAATATTGATTTGCTGAGGTGGAGTATAATCTGACAAGGTTTTTAAAAATGCTAGAACAAATGGTTTTCCAGCTAGTATGCTCCAAAAACTTCCCAGCTTAACCAAAAGGCAAGAACGTCCAGCATATGCAACTATAAATGTGATTAGCCAGCCACTCAAAGCCTTAATGTTTTTTTTGGAAGTGCTTTTTGCCAGCAGAACCACTGATCCGTTCTCAAAATAAAATCAGCGACTTCTGGAGCCTGCAAGAAACCAGTTTGTCAAAATTCTTTGAAATGCATCCCAAAGAACTTCCTATGTTAAGCAGACAAAAGGAAGTGGGTAACAATAATTTAAAAAGTGGATTTGGCAAAGTCAAGTGCTTTCAAGTGATGTGTATTCGGCTGTATAGAAAAATTTATTCTGAATAGCTGGGGTATAAGATATTTTTTAATGACTTCTGGGATGAAAGTTTATTAAACCTTGAATTGTGCAAAGCTGTGTTACCTAGTGATCCTATTGCCTAGTTTTACATTATGCTGCTTTTCAGCATCATCTTGCAGTTGCAGCCTTTCCTCTGTCCCTTAAGTAGCCTATGGGGGCTCGTATCTCACTCTTTTAAGGACTGTAGACTCCATAACTCTGCAAAGTGGTTGAGCCATCAAAGGGACATCATTTTGAACCAATTTGCCTTGTCCCCTTCCTAGAGGGCATTAATAAGGTTCTTGTATGTGTGCATTTTGGGCCCATCTTCCGCAGCAGCAGGCAAAAATATCAGGAGTGCAGAATCTTAGATGATGAGAACTGGCTTCCATTAAAAAGGAGAGGGGGGTGTCTGGTCCTTACTGTTGCTGTGCCCAGCAAGGAGATGCTTGGGCAAGATCTGCTTGAAGGCTCCATAGTCCCAAAGACCCTTTTCAAATTGCAGGGCATCCTGGAAGGTCCTAAATACTTCAATAGGCCTAAGCTTATTAGGCCAACTGTACATCCTGAGAATATGGCTGATCTTTTTAAGCACGACTTCAAGGAAGTTTCTGCTACTTAGCGGCAGGATATTGTGTTAATGCAACCCGTATTGCGAATTCACAGACTGCAGGGGCAAGTTGATGCTTGTGGTCTGATTTTACCACGTGGCAGGTGGGAGCTTCTTTAAGTAAGGAGGTATTGCTGGGTCCCCCCCGCATGATGTATAATGGAATACAAGTTCCGTGATGTGCTACTTAGTTTTTCTATCTTTATTTCTTGGCATACTGACCTCCAACATGCTTCTGTGAGTGAGCTGAGATACGGGAATACTTGATTTTACAGGCCTTTTGTTTGCCTTATTCACAAGACGATACCCAGAAGAACTGTATGCAGAGGTTTGGGAGGGGGGAGCGCTGGTGAAGACCCTGCTTTAGACATCAGGTGGGCTTCCAACCAACTGGCAACTTGTCTTGAGCATTGAGAGCGCCGCCATCCGTCCAAGCTGGATTGTAGTTCTTCTTCTGTACTGTGCTGCACAGATTGATCTGCTGTTTTAATACCAGTCTCTGTGTTTAATTCTTTTTAAAAAAACAGAAATCGCCTGCCAAGAAGCTGAGCCATGCCATTAGTAAATCTCTTGGTTGTGTACCCACTAGAGAGCCTCCTCACCCTGTATATCCGGAACAGCCAGAGAAGCCCCTTGACCTTGCCCATATAGTGTGAGTATCTGTTTCTCTGCTCTTCATCTAAATATCATTCCTTCCGTTTGCCTCTTTTTCTGGATTTGTCAGGTGGGGGTTATGTTGGCCAGGGTGGCTCTTCCCTGCCTTTATTTCTTATGTAGTATATTCATGGTTTTGTGTTCTGGAAAGATGGATTAAACAGCCTGTGCTGTAAAAGACTGCATAACAGGTGAAGACTTTTTTTTGGCAGAATGACTGCATCTGCACTTGTTCCATGGCAAATACTAATTGGGAGCTCAGCCCTGTTGGTTGTGTTGTGAATGTTCAGCTCCAGACTAGCCCAGAACTTCATTGTGCAATAAATCAAGTGCTGTTGTAGGGTTATTTTATCTCTTTTTGTCTAGTCCGTGGCTAAGGCTTTTGCGAGTGTGTCTTTTGGAGATGTACCTCTGAAAACCTGATTCTGACTTGGCCTTTAGGACTCCACTTTGTGAACCACTTGGTTTGCATGCTTAGGTGCAAACAGACACTGTTGTACTTGTAATGTTCCCAAGGGTAACACTGGTTTGGATCCAGGGATCCAGTTGCCCAAGAATTACAAATCTCCTTGCTCCCCCCCCCCCATGCCTTCTTACCCTGGGAAAGTTGATTCTCAGAGTTGTGGGGCCTGTTTGGAGTAATAGCTGTGTTGGTCAGTGGGATGCAGTGCAGAGGGGAAAGGGGGCAAAACTGTTTTTCCTGCCTCTTCTGTCAGCAGAGTTGCATTGTTGGAACAGGCAGGAGGGAATCATTTTTGTCCTTTCCCCATCTCACTGCAGCCCACTGACCACATGGCCGTTACTCCACACAGTTCCATGACTGTGGGAATCCATGTGGTCAAGATCTGAAGGACTGCCGGGGGGGGGGGGGCAAGGGGGGAAATCTCGATGTCTGTTGGTGTCTTCCCCCTCTGCATGGAGGACCTGGTAAATTTAGAATACTGCAAGGGAGATTATGACACCAACTTCTCTGCAGCTTATTGTGAGGCCAACTCCTACATAAATTTGTTGCTGCTGCTAGGTTTAATTCAGAGAGTGTTTTTGCAAGCACCAAAGGAGACTTCTGCTGCTTGGATGGTGAGATGGCTCTTGGAAGGGCAGCACACCAAGTGTGAGGTGGTAGCAAGCATGCAATCCTGTCCTTTTCAGAATATGTGTTTTATTCCCCCATTAAGGTTTTTTATTTTCATAATGTCTGCATAGACTGTTGGAACTGGAGAGACTTGGCAGTCCTTGAAATGCTGAGCAGCCCCATTAGGCAACAGGAAACAATCTCTTGGAATGCGGGGCCCATTCTGGTGTGCATTGGGACAAGAGGACTTGGGTCTGATGTTGATGTGTGCTTTTGCTGTTTCTTGAAATACTGCTTAGGCTACGATGGCAACAATTCAGCCTGTGGTGGAGCTACAGACACCCCCAACATGTGCTTGCAGAGACTTGAGGCTCAGCAGAACTCCAAGGATGTCACTCATGGGAAAGTGTACACGTGTGGTTCTCTTTTGCCTCCCATATTTCAAGCTTATAAAGAGACCAATCCTAAAACTGGGGGATAACTTTGTAAGTACCAAATGCTTTGGGCAGAAAGATCCCTGGTAGCAAGCCTGTGACAGAAATCTGCTAGTGACCCTGGAGACTTACTGCTGCCAGAGACTAACTTCGAATGCTTTGTTGCTGGTCTAACTCCGCACAAGAGGATATGCCCAGTGCTTTGTTGGCTGAAATGTGCTGAAGGCTTGCTTCAGTTGAGGTAACCATAATTGTTCTAATGCGGCACATCTTCCCTCCTTGAGCAAATAAATGGGTCACCCTTCAGTCTGTCTTCAAGCAAGGATTGCTTTGACAAACTAATTTTTCTTTCTTTGTAATATGATACTGTGTGGCCTTGACAGTAGGATACAGTGAAGTAGTGGGGTTTGATATCCAAAGACTAGGCCAGAAGGGAAGCACATGAGAGCTAGCAAACGGGATGGCATGGGTTGTGAGTAGTAGCCCCGAAGGGGTGTGTGGGTGGCTCTGGTCCATCTTAGGAAATTCTGATGACTGTGGGATCCAGCTTTGGCTCACCAGAGGCTGCCTTTGAGTGTGAGCACTGTTTAGCCTGAAGTGGTATCATTGGTGGGCTGGTCTTGGGGTGTGTATCTTTCTTCTTTCCTAATCTCCCCCCCCCCCCATGTCTCAGAGCCAGGGAAGGAGTAAGGAGAACTTCTTGTTTACATCTTGGTCTCTTTCTTTACTATCTTCTCAGATGAGAGGGAGTGTGTGCTTGCTGGTTAGGGGGCGAGACAATGACCGGAGGACAGGGTTTGGCCTGGAGCCTGCTGCTTGTTAACTAATCCAGGTAGCCCCAGTAAGAGGGCCAGGACTACTTATTTAAATGATTGGCTGAGCAGATGACAAGTTGCAAAACACCACTCCAGATAAGGATTTCCTCTTTTGTCCAAAGTGGATTCTTACAAGAAGTGTAAGAATCTACATGGGGTTGCCTTTGTCGTGAATTCGGAAGCTGCAACTAGTGCAGAATGCTGCAGCCAGGCTGTTGATGGATCTTCCTAGACGAGATCACATCCAGCCTGTGCTGAAAGCGCTGCACTGGTTGCCAATAGCGTACCGGGTTCGCTTCAAAGTGCTGGTTATTACCTTTAAAGCCCTATATGGCCAGGGACCAGCCTACTTAAGGGACCGCCTTTCCCCACATGTTCCCCCAAGAGCACTACGGTCGGGAAATCAGAACTTACTGGATGTGCCAGGTCCCCAGTCCATCAAACTCGTCATGACCAGGAATAGGGCGTTTTCGGTGGTGGCTCCTATCTGGTGGAATGAGCTCCCAGAGGAGATCAGGGCTCTGCGGGATCTAGCACAGTTCCGCAGAGCCTGCAAGACGGAGCTCTTCCGCCAGGCTTTTGAATAGGAGCCGCCATCGCCATTGTACCACCAACGCCCCATGATTTCTGTACATGGTCACCATGATGCGGGCACCTTGGGTGAGAATGGGATGTTTTAGGGGACGGCCATCTTGTTTTTAGGAGAGGAGCACCAAAATTTGTTCATTACTGTGATGTATTTTAATATTTTAATGTTTTCTATTGTTCTATTGTATTAGCTGGCGATTTGCCTTGTAAGCCGCCCTGAGCCTTCGGGGAGGGCGGGATAGAAATGTAAATGATAAATAAATAAATAAGTGGAGAAGGCTGTTGTGTAGAGCTGTTAATCTCTTACGTGTGTTACAGAATCACTTGCTTTGTGGTGACATGAAAAAGAAGGGGCTAACTGTTGTGGTTTTCAAAGTCAAATCCTATATTACCTTGCAGAGTTACCTTCTTAGGGATAGTTTCAGGAGGGTAGCCATGTTGATCAGGAGTAGAAGAGATTTGAGTCCAGTAGTACCTTAGAGACCAACAAGATTTTCGGGGTAGAAGCTTTTGAGAGTTTAAAGCACCCTTAGGTACAAGGGATCATGTATCTCATGAAAAGAGCTTTGACTCTCAGTATCTCTGAGGTGCTACTGGACTTAAGAACATAAGAGACGCCAATGTTGGATCAGGCCAAAGGCCCATCTAGTCAAACACTCTGTCACACAGTGGCCAAAAATACCAGGTGCCATCAGGAGGTCCACCAGTAGGGCCAGGACACTAGAAGCACTCCCAATGTTGACCCCCCCCCGCAAGCACCAAGAAGACAGAGCATCACTTGCCCCAGAGCCCCTACCAGTGTTCCCTCTAAGCTGAGTTAGTGTGAGCTAGCTCACAGTTTTTAGCCCCCGGCTCACAGATTTTTGTCTTAGCTCAGGAAGGAGGGCTTCAGAGCAAACTAATTCATGCAGCAGCCAAATCGCTCGCTCACAACTTTAATGCCAGGAGCTCACCAAGTAGAATTTTTGCTCACAGGACCCCACAGCTTAGAGGGAGCCTTGGTCCCTACCTATACCTTGTGGCTAATAGCCACTGATGGACCTCTGCTTGAATCTAGTTGAATCTAGTTAGTCTCTGAGGTGCCACTGGACTTGAACCTAGCTCTTCTTAGGGATAGGTGAAGCTTCGGCAACAACTGTGATTAACTTGTCACACTCTATAACATCCAGGTCTCTCTTCTTACCTTTGTACCTTCTTGTGCTTCTTGCCTCGAAACCCCTCTTGCCAAAAATGCCTAGTCTTGCAAAAACTCAGTCCTGTATCCAAACCATCTGCATGTTTTACAAATGAGCAGATTTACATGCTTGGAGCACAGAATTGGAGACTGCCCTGGGATTTCTTTGAGTCATGTCAACAGTATCTCTTGCCCTTACCATAAAAATTAGGATATAAAAATTAGCAAATAAACATTATAGATTTTCGTCCTTGGGTAACTCTAATCCTTAATGGAACAGATGAAACTGTGCCAATGAGATCATATGGCCATGTTAATCACTGCATTTCCCCTAAGCAATTTTGCTTTTTAAAATTTGGAATAAAGGAGTGTAGAATGACAGGCTTGTGGTATTGTACTTGCTGAAAAGGATATTGAGGGTTATCTAGCTGACTTTTCCTTTGCTTAACCCTCAGCCTCCATACTGGCTAAGGAAATATTTGTGAAGGGCTTAAGTCAGGAGCTGACAGCCATATCTGGCCCTCTGAATTTGAAATGGGAACCAAATGTGTTTTGGTTTTGTTTAGATCTATATGCTTTATCATGTCACCATTTATATCTGAAGTGACGCCTGCTTCCTCTTTTGTAAAAAGTATGTGCTTTTTCTCAAAGTGACAGCTTGAGGAGATATATATTTGAAAGTAGTATGCAGATGCTGTGACTGAGAAGAAAATATTTTACCTGCAAATAGATTGGTAATATTTTGAGAGTCTTGTCACATGGAAGCAGGAATTTTATGCACATTTACTTGGGATTGTCTCATTTAACAAAAGTGAAATGGTGCAGTTGTAAGTGCATTGTGCATGAATACTACATATGCTGGGACCTCTTGCTTTGTAATCCTGATTTGGAAGGGAAGCAGGAACAATTTGCCAG